GGTGCATTGAGATGGAAGAATTTTCTGGGAGTAGTGCTGCTTTCTTCAGTAGCCTGCATAACACCATCAATCGGTTTCAGAAAACCGGAAACTCCACCGTATGATTCAGATTGCACACGGAACAGTGCAGTTTATTACTGGAACCGGAAATAACCACAAACTAAAAAGGATTCGAAATTTCGAAAAGACAATGTTTATGGTGGAGAGTCCATTTTTGACGCTCGTAAAATAGAAATCTGCAACACAATCAACTCATCACTTCATCCAGACGTCCAACATTTCTGCACACTATCCACATGTTACACTGTTTACCGTCAACTAAATACACGTGTTCACTCACACATCCCCTTCCAGCCTTTTGGACTGCTGCTTTCCAAATATCTACTGATAATCCTGTTTCATATATTTTAGCCCATGTTCTACAACATACAGCTTCGCCTATAGTTCTTCTAGGGCTACCGCCGGTTCCATGCTCGAGTAAAAGAGGAGGGTTGGGCGTGAAGTCGCCAACCCTATCCCGTAGAAAAAATCTTGCTAAAAAACGCTGGCCAGAATAAACCAATTGAACAATCTAGACAGTGCCCTGGAAGGTGAAGGAATAATTATGACGCCACAGAATGAAATCCGGGATTCTTCAGAAGTCACGGAGCCGATGTCCCCTCAAAAAACCAGAACAATATTTATAGGTACATGGAACATCTGTAAAGTGTGGGAGACCAGTTCGCTACACTACAGTTCATCGTTGAACAATCCATTGGGTGAACTTCGTCACTATACATCAGTTTCCTTGATTATGAGAAAGCGTGTAACAGCGTGGATGGGAAAATCTTAAGGAATGTTCTTTGACACTATTGAGTGAGTGGGTGAGGAAATCTTCAACATCACACGGAATTTATGTGACGGACTACAGTGTAAAGCGGTGCATGAAGGACAGGTGAGACCAATTTCTAAGCGACGACCAGAGCCAGATAAGGCTACTTACTCTTCCACTTTTATAGTAGCTGACGCGAAATTGAGTTTGTTCACATTTAATTTGGTTAAGTAATTTCTGTTAACTTATTTGACGAACAGAGCCACCGGCTTGTCTATATCATTGTACCTTAATTATTATTACACTTGTATGAATATGTATGCCTGAGCATTTCTTCCTGCCTAAGCAATTATTCTCTCTGCTAGCCTTGATATTAGTCACTTAATTGATTCGATGATTAATTCAAAACACTATGTATGCATATGTACATTTTATTCATGTTCATTGTGCTAGCTTACTCATACACGTGTTTGCTTACTCGCTCACTTGCCTGCCTGCTTTTTGGTAAGAATCTTTTATGCTTACTTAACGTACTTGTAAATTGGGTATCCGTGTGTGTTCACATAATAAACGTAATAAACACTTATTTTTCGACTTCGGAATAAAACACCGTTGGGGTTGAAGATGCCACAGGTATTCGAAGTTTGACAACGCTTTAACCAGTAACACCTTCTAATATGAAGCGTACCCACCAAGTGAAATCAAAAGGCAGAAGCGAGGAGATCGAATATATATTTGATAAGTTATCAATATATCGAGGATCATCTGATCTAATCTGGCTAGCGATCATGACAGATGTTGAGCACGGCGTTCCCACTCGTGATCTGGTGCGGATGCATGACCGAGCGCCTTCAGCTGGATGAGTCTGTAGTGGCATTGGGCCCTACCTCAAGACAATACGAAAAATAGACATTCTACATCTAACGCTGGGAAATACAGAAGAATGGAGAAGGCGGGAATAAGGAATTGAACTAATCGGGGTTGTTCGTATGGCATGGCTCGGCCATGCAGGCGTGGTCCCTCCTGAATTTTACTTTATATCTTTTATTCATATTAAATATATTGTCCTATCTCTAGCCTAGGATTGTTCTCCATCATGTACTGGTAATTGTTACGATGCAGTGAGTTGGTGTGTTAGATGATGTGATTTGCACGTGAGATCTTATAGATTAGGCAGTTACATGATAATAAATCTACAATTTTAGGATTAGGTCTATTATTAGAGCAGTGCTAATATCATAGTAGACCGTAATTCGACAAGTCCATTAAAACTGTGGTCAGCATCCAATGTCGAAAACTTACAGAGCTATTCATTTTGAGGCTTTGTTTACCGCTACACTCTATATAAAAGCAATTATTAAAAATGACTTCTCTAATCACTGGGCGAACAGAAAAATCACACATGTAGAGCGCAGTGTTTAAAAGCCAACATGTGATAAACCTCCACTCGGACTTACTTGCCAACATTTATTCGCTGTGCACAATAGTGTTTTGTTTTGTCACTGAGATGCGTTAATAAACGTCCCCGTATCTAACACATTACTGTGCGGAATTGAAATGATTTGATAACAATAGCACATATAGGCAGATCAAACAAGTAGGGAAACAATGCACATAGGCCATAAGAGAAAATTGATTCCAGCATCAGATAAAACTGGCCAAGAATTATATTTAAGGGTTTCATCACGAACTGACATCAGCTGTTATGATGAAACTCTGTTTTGCCAAATTGATGAGTGAATTTTGCGTCAAAATCCGAAACCTGTTATCTTACATTTGATTGGTCCGCTCATAAATTATGGTTTCGCCAAATTTCATTTTTTTAGGCTACAGAATGCCCTAGCTGCGTCGCTCAGCATTCAGTTCTGTGACCTCTCCAGTTCTTAGTTCATATAAATGACCGATCTTAATGAACGTAGTCTGATTTATCATATCTCATGATGTGAAACTCTGGAGAAAAATTTACAACCAAGATGATAACCCGGTATTTTAGCAGGATCTGACTAGGCTCCAAAGTCTGACCAGTAACAACAGGCTTAAACTTAACACATAAAAGTATGAAATAATCCACATGAGACATGTTGCAAACAACGCACATAGCATAGGTTACTCGACTCTAAAGGTATCGTAAATTGAAAAAGATCTAGGACAGCTGGTAGCCTATGATCTGAAGTCTTACGTGAACCGTGACAAAAATGCATTTTGAGCAAACCTTGCACCGAGAACGTTGAAGCACATTTTTGGCCAGTTCGGCGGTAGAACTTTACGTCCAATCTTCAACAGTTTTATTTGACCCAACTTAGGGTATAGAAACACAGCATTTCCTCCCTTACTCCAAATCGGATAAGAATATATTGGAATTCAGGTAGAGACAAGCCACGAAATCAATTCGGGGACTCAAGTTGAAGCCTTATGAAGAGCGTCTAAAACTACTAAATCTCCGTCCATCAGAGTAAAAGCGTCTTAGAGAGGATTTTCCAATGGATTAGAGCACCATAAATAGTCATATGCATCCCATTAAATACCTAATTAAGTTCAGTCCAAATACAAACCTTAGGAATAACACTCGGAAATTAGTGACACGATACAGCAGAAGACACACCTTTTACTCCATACGAGCAGTCAAATTCTGGGACCCACTGTTGGGTGAGCCAGTCCAAGCGACTTCCTAGGATTCCTTTATGAGGAAACTTGACATATTCTTAAGGACTAAGGATAGTACTTCGCTATAATTTACTAATATATTTCTCTTTCATCATTAAATATATTTAAGTTCCTACTTGTAGGCAACGGCGATCCACTGCTACTAGATGCGTAATCCTGTTAAGTGAAAGCTTCTTCCATTCCGTCAAGAACCGTTCGAACCGTTTGAACGCACCAGTAATTTT